GTCTAAGGGCACATTAATATTTTTAGCAGCCCTATCCCACTGAGACTCCCACTGAACTTATGCTCAACTCATTGCCTTTTGACCTACAGTCGGGTCAAGTTTTCCCATTATTCTTTCTGCAATCATCAATAAATCAACGATGCCAAAAATCACTTCATCCATAGGGATTTATGTTTATGTCTTGCTAAATTTCACTTTGCTGATTTTGGAGCCAGGGATAGTTCTGTCATTCGCTGCAATATGGTTTCACCTCAAGTCACACGCAATGATGATTAGGGAGCATTAGCGATAGACTCATGGAGGATCACTGACTTTCTTCCTTTGGGCAGTCCTCAATCCATTAATCAGCACACTCTGGTGACTCAAGTTCATAGTACAGTTTTCCTTCTGTGGCTGGGAGTTCTGGACTATGAAGGTTGGAAATATTTAAGAAAGAACTGTTTCTGTATTGAACACATACAGACTTTTCTCTTGTAATCATTCCTTTAAAATACAGTGTAATAACCATTCATATAATATTTACATTATATTAAATGTTAGAAATTGTTTAAAGTACATGAAATGATATACGCAGGTTCTATGCAAATACTACACCATCGTATATAAGACACTTGAGCATCACAGGTTTGGATCTCCATAGACACTCCTGGAGCCAATCCCCAGTGGATCCTCAGGGAAGACTGAAGGGGACTCACTGCAAATTGACCCAGGCGTGTTTTTGTTCGTGAACTCTACTCCAGTACGCACTGTCTACCACTGTTAGCTCTGTACCACAAAATGGATTAATTTGGGGAATAAGAGTCTTGGGTTTAAGGCAGAAGGAAATCCATTATCTTTTGAGTTTGGTGTGACCTTGAATGGAAATTAAGAAGAGTTAGGACACAAACTGTGACTGGCCTTGGGGTGAACTGGACAACATTGCTGGCTAAATCTCCACGGAGTGACTAGAGGATCACGAGTTACACATGTCACGTTGTGGGCGGCCTGGAGCAAGCACAAACACTCCGGAAGAGTTTTCTACAAGAAAATTTCTGAACAAAAGAGACAGATTCTCCAGGAAACTGCTTTCTCCTGCTGGGGAGTTTGGAAGGTTTTAAACATATGTTTTCATACTGGAAGACAATGACAGTGTTTACTTCTGTAATCTAATAAAAATAGTGACGTAGGTTACATTTTTCCCGGTGAAGATTAAATTTTGTAAGGAGGTGACATCTGGGTGTATATTTTTTTAAAGACTCGCCCAGTTCGCTAGAAGAATCAAGGTACTGCTGGTTTTTGTGGCCAAAGATACAGGCTTGCCACCTAGTGGTAACTCCTGTACACTGCATTTCCCTCTCTCCCTTGTATGGAGCAGATGAGCTGGGAAATGGGTGGGGCCTGTCCCATCAGCTCTATCCTCTACCTTCTGTGAGGACGTGCGTGTACATCTCATCCACTCTGCCATTCACCTGCCACTCATCCCTATGATTATTATGCACCTGGCTCGATAAAAAGTGAAGCAAAAAGAACCATGGTTAACTTGGAGGAAAAACTTCAGCAATGATACAAAAATAATAAATTTACAAGGGATGCTTTTACTGGGTTAGTTCCCAGTGTTTATATAAAATGGAGTTGAAACATCATTGAGGTCAGGTCATATTTCCTTATTAAAATATTTTAACCTTGGGCTGGGGATTTAGCTCAGCGGCACAGCACCTGCCCTGCAAGCGCAAGGTCGTGAGTTCGATTTCCCGTACCGAAAAAAAAAATTTTTTTTTGACCTAACCAAGAACTTAGCTAAGACATTCATATGGTCAGTACAGATCTTTAAAGCTAAGCTACATTTTTATGTTAGGCTATAAGCATTAAAATAAAAATGCTAAAAGTTGTGTATACCCACTTACAGAAACATACAGCTGAATTAGACACTTATAAAAGACACTTTGTATTGACGTATTCATCAAGCACATAACTAGCAAAAAAAGTTATTAGCAATCTAATACTTTAGCAGAATTTTTCAGATCTGCAAATGAAACAGTAAATCAAAATGTACATGAGGCCTTTTTATTTATTGGGTAACTTTTCTTATAGTAAGCAAATGAAATCAAAATACTGTATTTATATGAACTTTACCATAGCACTTTTCAAAAACTAGTCTATAGTTCTACATTTCACTACCAAATAGTAAGTCCATGCATGGATGAAAGCAGTGTCAAAAAAATGAACAAAAGTTTTTACTGTATGCAATGTTATTGTGAAACAGTTTAATTTTTAGGGATAATGTAATTTTTGTTACACGAGGGACAAAAACCTAAAGGAACTAATAGTTATGTGTCTCTTTGACTTCATAAAATGCCCTAATAGGAGGTTTGAAGGAGTTATGTAACTTGTTCAAGTGGAAGAATGAAGCATTTAGCTTTGAACTTTGTCCATCTGATTTTAAATCTTCACATGTGAAGGTGTGCCCCCGATGATTGTGCTCTTGTACACGGAAAGTTTGACAGAATTTCAAAGTAACAGAGATTTAGCGTGCAATTAGTGATGGCATTCTACTTTGTTAAGTGTGTTTTTAAAATTGTATCCTGTAATACAGTTATCCCTGCAAAATTTGGCAGACCACTTTTTTTTTTGGTGTTGGGAATCGAACTCAGGACCTTGCGCTTGCCAGGCAGGCGCTTATGCCCCTGAGCTAAATCCCCAGCCCCTATCCCTGCAAAATTTGCCAACACCCGCCTTGTGTAGTAAAAAGTCACTATAATGGAGAATAGACAGTAGATTTCATGTGATATTTTAACCATATATTATGAGTGGCTACCATTGTTCCTGTATATATTTCAGACTCTTCAATTAGAAAAGGAATGAGAAAAGGAGGCGAGGATATCTTATACTTTTTGGATAATTTAAAGTAAGATACGTTCCAACGTGCACAGAACTTGAACAGGGTACTGCAGATTGTAGTTTGTAAAAGTACAAAGCTAGGTAATCATCTAAGGCATTTTCAGAAAAGGGTAATGCTGTGGAGTGGACCAAACAAACAACGGGTGGCCAACACTGAACTGAAATGAAAAAGGGGAAGGGAAGCGAACTTTAATTTTCAATCACTGAAGTTCTGGAGCTTAGAGAAATTATTAAACAAAGGCCCACTTGTAAGTCTGCTCTCAAGGGACTACCCTACGTAATTCAGGACACAGGAAAAATGAATGCAGTGGACAGAAAATTGCTGCAGTTCAAGGAGGCAGCTATGCAGAAGAGAATGTTTAGGCTGCACAGAAACGTGGAATTTGAGGTGCAATTAGGTCGGAACTCTGCTATTTGACCTCAGCTGCTGCTATTAGCTGTGGCCAGTAGCTACAAGTTTACCAACAGAACTGCAAAGAACTAATTACTTGAATGCCTATCTTTTCTTCCTAGACGTCAAGTCCACGAAGGAATGCGAGCTCGCTTGTTTCCTGGCACAGGGCCTGACACGGCAAGCACCCAGTTAACCTTCCCCTAAATGTAGTTTGGTGGCTTTAGAGTATATCAGAACCAGATTGAGATCTGGGCCTTTCTACTTGCAAGCTGTTAGAACCTTGGGTAGGCTATCTGCCTTCCAGGTACACGGTTTCTTTACCTGTGAAATGGTACATCCGAAGCATTTATCCTATGTCAGTGGTTGTGAGGATTAAGTAAGACAGTGACTGTGAAGAACTCAGCACACAGCTGAGCCCGTAGGTGGTTTTTGTTGTTTTTTGTTTTTTTTGGTTTTTCTCCGGTACCGGGACATAGGTGGTTTTTGATGGGAGCGGCTCTTATATTTGTGTAGTGGAAGTTAAATTGCTCATCCTCTGTAAACCTTGTGTATTTAGATCACTTTTGGGAGCTGTTTGCAATGTAGATTTCTGCACTCTGCCAACAGATTCAACTTCTGATTTGGTAGAGATACATAGAAGTTCAGAAATTTGTTTATTCGATTGTTTGTTTTTTGAGACAGGGTCTTGGTATGCAGTTCAGGATGGCTTTGAACTTACTGTATAGCCCAAGATGGCCTCACATTCATGGCAATCCTCCTGCCTCAGTCCGCCGGGATTACAGGCATGTAATCCACCACACCCAGGCAGAAATTTGCATTTGTAACAGGCATCTGGGAGTAATTCTACTGGAGAGAGTCTTTGGACCACCCTTGCAGAAACACTGCATTAGAGAACCTTCAATTTGCAGGTTACTGAAGAGAAGGACAAGCTAACACGAATCTCATATTACACATGATGTCCAGGGATGGATAGTGAAAGAAAAATAAAACTACATTATATTATGTGTATATAGCACATACATTCTATGAATATTACATATTTATGTAAAATTAAAGTTCTGGCTTGAAGAGCTGGTAGAAACTCATGTTACTTCCATATTTCTGAGTGACACCTCCCTCTAACCAGCGTCTCCCACTTTTCTTCCTCTCAACAGCCCCTTAGGAACGGGGCTAGGAAGGGACCCTCGCCTGCTAGTATGGAGAACTCTCATTATTTCCTTAGAGATATGGAATTCAAGGCAAACTGTATAGTTTTAAAGTAGGGGAAGGCTTTTTAAAAAATCAGTCTTTTTCATGATTATTTTTATGCTGATGAGCTGGTGCCTTTAAAACCCCTTGTGATTTATTTCTCTTAGGTTTCAGATCATTTCATTAAGATGTAAAGGTAGGATGACTAGAAGATGTATAAATGGGCTCCCCCGCCAGGAAAAACTTTGTGACACAAAAGTGCTGTAGATAAATAACATCCATGTAATGTATCTGGCCACTATTTTGTCTGTACTTCCATTCTTGTGCCTGGTATTTGTTTGGCAGTAAGTTAGGTGCTCTTAATGGCATATAAACCCTGATAGATCCATTTAAGTGGTTAATCTCCCTGGAGATACTAAGCTGGAAATAAGCTTTTAAAGTAAAAATTCTGAAAAGAAAGGAAAGAAAAGAACGAGGTGAAATTTATATTCAGTCATGAGGGCTTAGCCTCAGGATGCCCTGAAGTTCGCATTCCTCTTACCAGCAGGTTCTCTGGCTTGATGTCACGGTGGACGATGTTCAGGCTATGCAGGTACTTGATGGCACTAGCCAGGTTGTACAGCATCCCACTGGCATCTCGCTCGGTGTATTTGTTAGTGGAAGTAATGGCGTCAAAAAGGTCTCCACCCTGAGGAGAGAACAGCGGGCGGAGCAGCACATTAACAGATGGGCGATGGTGCTGCCTGCAGAGAGGACCGACAAACCATAGAGAAAGTGAAGAATGGACGCGGGATCTTCCCTGCCCCTTGCCTCTCATAGGACCAAAGACTTTATGGTGATTGCTCTTTTCATTATGAAAGAATGGCATTTCCTTCAGAGCTCAAGAAAGGAGCAGGATGAGGCTTCTCTGACAGCAGACACGTGGCCACCTCCACAGCTCCCACTTGGGAAGAGTCGATGGAGCTGGGTCCCCAAGGCAGAGACCTGGAGAAGCCTCGTGAAGCGTAGGTCGCCTTCCGGCACGTGCAACCTTCCTCATGCAGCTGCCAGCTGAAGTGCAAATTCATAATCCTCAACCTCGCCCAAGGACAAGTAATACTGCAAGGGGCACACTTCAGCTTCTGCTGCCTTGTGAAATTATTCACACACACACACACATACACACACACACACACACACACACACACCTCTGATTGTCTAGATTTAGCTCTCTTGGAGTGGGTGTAGTGTTTTCTTTTTCAGTAATATGCCACTTTGTAAGGAATGGAAAAAACGGATCAGAAGGCATCACACCAAAGATGAGAGAGAAAGGGAGGGAGGTTACAGAAATCTCAAAGAAAGTTTTCTAGGACTATTATTCATTTGAAGTTTTGCTTCCCCTTTTTCCTTGCTAATTCTTGCCACTTGATGAAACAGTGAGTTTGGCCTCCAGCTTACATTTATCTGAAACCCTTTCAGGGAATTTGTGTGTGATTTACTAACAATGTCCCATCATTCTTGCATACAGTGCAGCAGACAGCCAAACACAGTTCCCAAATACTTCATCTGTTACTTAATGTGGGACTTAATTTTCCGTCTTAAAATAGCAAAAGCAAAATACAGGCCTTGGAGGCTAACAATATTTAGATCTCACTAGCGAGACTGGATCTTCTGTTTTCTTCTGCCATCTCCATTCTGGAAACTTCTCTCAGTGTGTCTTAAGCAGTAACAGTTCTCAAACTAAGCACATCCAGTTTTATTTTGTTTCCAAACAGACTGTTTATCTCTCAACTTTGTGTTTCTCTCAAAGGCAAGGCAAGTTTTCCCACTGGCTATCACTGGAGGAGGCTATCACTGCTCACTGAGGCCAGGCATCCTGCCATCCCATCCTCATCCTCCACCACAGTCCACAAATCTTACCAGTGCTGTCTTTAAAGCAGTTCTCATACGCCTCCTTCTGAGCCATCACATCTAGTTATTCAGAACGTAGGACCCCATTGTGTTGTTGCGGACTGTTGTCTTTTGGAATTACCACCCACATCGCTTCATTCTGAACTTCTTTTTCCTAAGCACCTTGCACAACAGCATTTACTTTCTTCTTAGTTACTGTTGGTTTCACTGCTCCTTCCCCACAGCCTAAGGAAAGGCTCTTTGTGTTCTGCCCACAATGTTCCTTTTTTTTTTTTTCCGCAGCTCTAGGGATTGAATGCATGCATGGCCTTCACACTGAGCTACATCCTCAGCCCTTCTTTATATTTTATTTTGGGACAGGATCTTGCTAAATTGCTGAGTTGCCCAGGCTGGATTTGAACTTGTGATCCTCCTGCCTCAGTATTCTAATGTGCTGTAATTACAGGCATGCTCCTTCACACCCAGCTTTTCTGCCATTTCCTAAGGCAATAATCTTTGTGCCCGAGGTAGTGTAACAGACAGGGCAAATGTCCTTCAGAGTTAGCATTTTTCTTTTAGAGACAAAGTGCTTTTCTAGGGACCACACCCTGCTCTCCTGTCCCAGAGGAGTAAACAGCACATGCAGATGATAGCTCCAGGAGGTCAAGGTCCAGTTCCACAGCAGGAGTGAGGAGGAAAAGGCCTGAGATAGCCAAGGGATAAAACAGCGTGGAAATTTTATTATCTGTGTCTTATGGTAGTCCCTCTCCTCTCCGTTCTTACTATATAAGGGCCTTACACAGCTGAACACAATGGTACAGTTACTTGTGGCAGTGTGAGACCCTTTCATGCCCCGGGAGCAAGCTTCGAGGAAAGCCCTTTTCTCTTTTTTCCAGGCCGCCATTTTGGTGGTGATGAAGGGGCAGCAAGCAAACAGACCTGAGTGCCTGGTAACAGTAGGATATTACTGCTCCTGTGTTCACACCAGGCCAGGATTCGTGGGGTCTGAGTCTGTCACCCTCAGGGTCCCCTTCCTGGACTGCCCCTTTCACTCCTTGCGGCAGCCTTGTTTGGCTCCTGAGGGTCCTTAGCCGTGCCGCTTCCTCCACTACCCCCCTTCCTCTGAACACGTGAGTGACAGCAGAAGTCTAAAGTCTCATTACCAATATTTCTAGAATTTCACTTAACAACTTTGACATCACTGTTTCCCAGAAGCCAAGCGTTGGTTGTTCTATAGCCTCAGATTCTCCTGGACACACTTCTCAGGCTTTGAGAAGATCCTGGCCAAATTCCTTAGGGAAACATTCAAATCAAGGCTAGCACTGGCCTCCATGTCCCAAGAAGACTCCACACTTGTTCTCAAGGCAATTCTGAGTCTGACTAAACCTAAGGGCATTATTTTTGATAGCACAACTGTGGGACCTCAGAGCTGGACTAAAGACCTTCTGTGACCTTGTGAGGGTGTCCTGGTCACTGGAGAGACTCACAAAGGCTGTTAACGGGAGCTGTCGAGGCACAATGGGTTAGCGTGCATTACTTATACAAAGGCTGTTAAATGCAATGGAGACCTGACTATCCTCTCCTGACAAGCATACTGACTTCCCACAAAATGTGCTATAAACACTTGAGCCTTTGCCTCTTTCATCTTTCATCTCCAAATTTATTTCAGTCGTCGATCTCCAAAAACCAACAGCGTTGACCTAATCAATATGCACATAGAGGGAGAGTTTGTATGGTTTGAAGCTGTCAGTATAAAAAATAATGTCATGGTAAAAATGTTTACCTTTGGTGCTAGAGAAAGTATAATCTACAAGTTTGGTAAACAGAGAACTTGATAATAAAATACCAACATGTAAATCCAAATAAATAAAATTGACCTTTGCTTGTTGGAGTAACAGTTTCACAATTTTACCACAAAAATACTGTCATGTTTTGTCATTTTCAGCCTCAAACATGACAGTAATTTTGTCAGCCTCAAACATGACCACATTCTTGTGTTACAACTAACAAGCCTTCACTCTTCCAGATGAAACAGGTCATAACTTGAACTAGAAAAAAAAAGGCAAATATAATTAAATAAACAACCACTCAGTTTTTAAAAAGCCAGTACCTCTAAAGTCAAGCAACCCTCTAAAACAATGAGCATGTTTCTATAGAGGAACCGGCTGAACACTTTTCTATATGGTAACAAGTTGGTGTATTAAATGCTTTCCTTATCTTAAATATGGAAGAAAAGAAAATCTCACATCATAGTCACCAGCTAAGCTGTAAGTTTCAAAAATGGCTCCTCAAGCCCCGGACTCTGTCTGCTGGTGCACAGGATTATTCCAGAAATGAGGGCAGGGAACTTACAACACCTTACAACCAAAGTAGAAATTTCTTAAGTCTTCAGGTAGGCAGCACATCAGAAAAAGCTTTGAGAAAAAAATAACTTCATAAGAATGAAACATTCTAGATTTTAAAACTTCTAGTTACTGATAATTTGAAATGTATGGATGTAATGAGAACATTAAGCCACTACCAACACCTGGCTGAGCTGATATTCTATGTTTTCATAGACTAAAAAGGTAATTTTATGTGACATTATGAAATTACAATAGCCACTGAAAGAAAGTAGTCTATTTACATTATTATTATAGCTGTTATTATTTTATTATGTTAGTGACAAAAATGGAAAGCCAGGTTTTGCAAAATTGTTGATATCTTTGGGTATAGTTCATAGAGAAATGAACAATATTCTACTACAACAATGACAAAAATTATAATGGTATTTAATACTTTCTGTATTACACAGATGGGTGGAAATGAGGCACAGGGAAATATACCCTAGGTCGAGGAGCTACATAGCCCAAGGGCAGTTCTTAGGCCCCTTTAGTATATTTCCATCATTATTAATTTTTTTAGTAATGGGGTGCTGGGGATCAAACCAGGGCCTGGTGCATGCTAGGCAAGTGCTTTGCTGCTGAGGTACATCCCCAGCCCTTCATTAAATATTCTTAACACTGTGCCAATAACAGAAATGACAGACTGGATACTGGTGGAAAGAAATAAAGAGAAGAGCAATATCACCTAGGAAAGTATGATGCCTTATATGCAAGTTTATCTCTTTTCCAAAATACACACCTTTACTAGTTCCATGACAAGATACAGTTCAGTTGGCACATCCATCTCCTCAATCAGAAGGACAATATTAGGATGCTTCACTCTTCTTAAAATAGACACTTCATTCTGGATCATGTGCTCCTATCCAAAGGAAAAGTTAACTTAATCAGTGTATACAAAACACAAAAAAGCTGACTCAAAATAATATAACTATACTGTCTGAGGATCAAGGGAGGTGCATTTGGTAAAATATAATGACATTCTAGTAACCTAGAATTGTTAAAGGATGTTGAAGGTCTTTAGATGATTAAATTTGGATGATTAGACCACAAAAATAAGGAAAGTAAAACGAAGGTAAGAAGCCATTTGAACTAACTTTTATTCCAACAGTGTTTATAAAGATATATTCTAAACAACATATAGCATTCTATTCCACCAAAATGAAACTCTGAGGGTAAGTTTATGTTCATTTGGAGATGATCCCTGTTTATAACTTCAGAACCTTTTTTTTTCTTCATAAAAATAAACCTTAAAGAAGGAAGGGAAAAATATATGTATATAGAAGGATAGCTGGGATAATTGTACTGCTGATGTCTGATGGTTTATTGAAAGGAACAGCTAATGTTTAAAATTTTTTGATCAATTTTGCATGTTTATATCTGGTGATCTGAACAACTAAATTTGAGGACAATAATATGCAATGTAACAACCATTTGGGAATTTCTACCATCTTGTTTGGTGAAGCACTGTGTCATTTCTAGTGTTTTCTTTTTTTATTATTTTTTTTCTCTTTCATGGTTTGATCAATCTTGCAATCTTACATATGGTAATCTGAAGAACTTCCTTTAAGATAACAATATGAAATATAACAACCACTGTTAATTCTTATCATTTTGTTTTGAAACCCTGAATCATTTTTATTGTTTTTGCTTTGTTTTGTTTTTGTCCATGTTGTTGTTATCATTGTTTTTTATTCTCTTTATAATAAAAAAGAATAAACCTTATACATACTTTGCCTCGACATTTGCTTTTCTTGATAATTTTCAGAGCATACTCCCTAGCAGTTGACCTGCAAAGAGAAAGCAATTTTTAAAAATAAAATTTAATTACACATGAATTGAATCATTTTATTAGCGATTAATTTCTTAACCCACAGACCTCACAGAGTGGTACAAATACTTTGTGAAACACTCTTCTGTTTTGAAAACAAAGAAATATGCAAATGTTTATGGGTTGACCACGGGTAAGGACAACAAATACGTTCACACAGACAGATCCTGAGCTGTCCTTGCACTAAAAACAGTGCCACGGCTACTGCCATGTTTAACTCCTCCTGCTAAGTTGCTCCTCTCTTCTTGGAAGTAAGAAAGCAGGGATACAAGGCAGATGTCAGTTTCTGCCCTCCTGGCCACAGTCTTTCTTGAGCTTCTCTATCCCTGGGGGCAGCAACGACCATTTTCTGAAAGGTTCTGGGGGTCATGATGAAGACTTCCATGAAGGAGACACATTCTCTAGGTTGCAGTTCCATGTGAGAGCCTGTCTATGAGTCCTGCTGGAGAACTCAGGAATGATACAAGTATTTTCAAGGTGTATAGGAAAGAATACAACTATGTCAGGAAATTCTTGGGCCCTTTGGGTTTTTTATAGCTGTCTCATTTCATAGGAAGAAAAATGGAAGGTACAATTAAAATTAACTCACTTTCCCAAAGCCACCTTCCAGTGTTAAAATCGGGATTCTTAGTTCCTAGAGTCCATTCTTCCCTCAGCCCAACCCACAGTGTCCTTCCTCTGAGACGGGTGTGGGAGTGAGGGTTTAGTCATATTGCTACTGTTAAGTACTTCCAAAGTGTGCCAACATCTCTAAGATGTAGTAGTGCCAAACTTAAGGAAATCGCTACTATCAAAGAACATGATGCACACTCAGTGAGCATAAAAAATCACTATGGCACATGCACTGCACTTTTCACTTCTGCTGTTAAGTCACAAGAATTTAGCTTTTTACATACAGCCAGAAGCCAATGACATGGATTCAAATAGATGCAACAGAAATGAGGTTGATTAAGAACATTGTAAACAGGGTGGGCGAATTAGCTCAGTGGCACAGTGCCTGCCTGGCAAGCACAAGGTTGTGAGTTCGATTCTCGGTACTGAAAAAAAACAAAAACAAAAAAGACACTGTAAACAAAAAAGCGTTTTAAAATCTCTAGGATGGTGAATTAAGTGAAATTTCCCAGTTATGTGGTTACAATAAAGTGATTTGCTTATAGACAGATTAAGAGGCTAGGTATTAAAAATGTGTTTCAAGGATGTTTTAGAAACTGAAGGGGGAAGGATGAGGAAAGGAAGGAAGGAAGAAGAAAAAAAGAGAATAGAAGGAAAAAGTGGAAACAAAATTTCGTAAATAAGGAGGGAAAGAGAGCTTGAAGGGAGGGGAGAGGAATGGGAAAGAAAAAGAAGCAAGAAGTATGTACAGATACAAATTCCCTATGATGAATGTTGTAATTGTGTAAATCTGAAATGTCCCAATAAAATTTAAAAAAACACATTGTTATATTAACCTTTATTAATAGTGAAAAATAAATACAAGCTACAAAATGTGAACAGAAAAAGAAGAAGAAGAAAGGGAAGGGGAAGGAGAAGAGGAGGAGGAAGAGAAGAAGAAGGAGGAGGAAGAGGAGGAGGAGGAAGAAAAGGAGGAGGAGGAGAGGAGTAGGAGAGGAGGACGAGGAGGAAGAGGAGGAGGAAGAAGAGGAGGAGGAGACAGAGGAGGAGGAGACAGAGGAGAAGAACAAGAAGAGGCAGAATAGAAACTCTCTTCCCAGGAAAAGACCTTCTTAGGGAGAATATGGCAGGTGAGTTCCTAGCTCCTCCTGACGTCTGCCCTGGACTCGGAAGAACCTTAAAAGGCAGTGTAACTGGTTCTCTTTGAACACAGCCAGCTGACCTAATTTCTTTAGATTCCATGTAAAAGAGCCTAAAGCCCAGTTGGTTATTAAAACCCCACAGAACCACTTGTGATTAGTGATCACTGGATAGCTAAACAAATTCCCACTCTCGGTGTATCTATTAAGACCAAAACAAAGAAAGCACCTGGAGCCCCACTTTCCAGAACTCCTGCTGGAGCCCCACCAAGAACTACTTTTCTTTCATATATCTCCAGTAAACCCCTTTAACCTTCTTTCTGTCCACAATTTCATTTTTTGATTTCATGAGATAATAGACTGGGTTTGTTTGATGATAGCTGTTTTATAAAACTACTCCACTGCCCAGGGCCTCCACACATTACAGAAGGCTTGGCTTGTATAAGACAGAGGGCCCCTTTCAGAGGCCTCTTCTTAAGGGGCTTCTGAAGTCTTTGAAAGTTTGAACATTCTTAAAGAGGAAAACAAAAATTTGAAGGATTTCTGGATTCTGCTTTTCACGAATCACTAAAAGATTACAAGAAAGCAATCCAAGGCTGGAATCTATGAGCAATTTTCTCTCTGACTTGGAATGTTTCATTTCATAGCAGGGGAATCTAGACCTGAAGTGACAGCTTTGATCGCACCAGAAATTTCAGGCAGGACCAGAAGCAGGAAGGTGCTGAGAAAAGCTGGCTTTTCTGTTCTCCACCTCTGCAACATGGAATATTGGATGACTGGCCTAGGCTGGTAACGAAAGGGGATTTCTTAGCTATGTGATTCCCATGTTTGCCATTTGATCCTCATTTCCATTGTAGGCATCATGTTAGAGCACTGTAGTGAAGGGCTGGTGTGGGATCCAGGAAGGCTGCATTCTCCTCCATAGTTAGACAGACAAGGAGTAGAATCCCTGGTAAGTATATGGATGGGTTGCTTCCCAAGAGCCCAGGCTAGCAGTCTGTGCCCCAAAAGTGAAACTGCACAGGGAGGGACCACAGGTTGACTAAGGTCTTGTGGCTTTCCTTCCTAGAACCTTTCATAATATAATTAAACATTCCATTAAATTGATATACTTTACATCAGACAATGAGCCTCATGGAGGACCACCAAAATTAATTCCCTGAGGGCAGAACTACAAAGTTATATAATAAAATCCTTAATTACTAGAAACAGTACATGTTTATAGGAAATTATCTGGCTGCAAAATGAACCTGAAAACAGGTGTCAGGACTTAACGTAAGCCATAAGAATACAAATGTAAGTGCTTGCTCTAACTGAAAACACTTGGCCAGCAATAAACCTTATAGAATGTCTTTTCTTCCCTCTATACCCTGAACTCTGAGGATTGCGGTGCCTTTGTAATTATTCAGCAAGGAGAAACAAGCATTGATCTTTGGTAAATTCAGAGATGAACAGGACCTGCTCCTTGTTCTCAGGAGTCTAAAGATCAGTCGGTGGAAAAGAATTCCAGATATCTGGCTTTTTGGTGAAGACACAGGCCATTTGCTTGTGTGTTCCTGAAATCATACTCTTAACCTTTCATGGAACCCCTCTGTACCATAACAAAGGCAGCAGCAACAGCAAACTTCGTCTTCCTCCTCATCTCAGGGAAATCAATTTGTAAGGTCATCTTTCTATTAAGTATGACCCAAGGTTGGAACCTGAGCTACAAGAGAGAAATGTTCAAGTTTTACAAGCTTGAACTGACTCTAAGTTTTAGTGTGTACTCAAAACAACTTTGAAAAACTGTCTTGTTGATCTTAATGATTCCTAACCTGATCCAGTCTTCCATCTACTTTTGCTATACCCAGTGAGGGGAGCAGAATGTTCACCAAATGGGGAATGGCTTCTCTGGACTAAGGGTTTTTCCTCCTTGTACGTTCTGTTTTGATAGTTTTAAAAATGATTATGTGGCAATGAAATTTATCTCTCCAGAGCATTTACTGAATTTCACAGCAATCTCTCATGTATGGCTAAGGTTCTAAGTACACAGGCTGTGCTTTGTGTTTGTCTGTAGCCCCACAAATACTCAGTGTGGCCTGACTTCAGGAGCTCCACATTTTTTGGTTAAGTTATGAAACTTCTAGAGGATGGTTGCAGTTAATAGAATGACTAGAAGACCACCTTCTAAGAAAGAGGGGTTAGGAAACAGCATTCTTTGTTTACCAAGTAATCATAAAGCTCCAACTCCTCCTAGGGCAAGTGGTAACCGCTGACAGTGAAGAATCAAGACATTCCAGAGAGCCTTGTCAAACCTCTCTGGGCTGGAATTTCTTTCTAATATGAACAATGGTGGGCTGGCTATCAGATGCTGGAGTCCTTGGGCCGGAAAGAATAGCAACCAGCTAATCCAGACTCATCTATAAACTTCTTCACCTCTCAGTCCCAGTTCTCAAGGAGCTGCCTTCAAACTTTAGGTGCATAGTTCTTGAGATTTTTGGGAAATCTATAGATTTTCTAGGTGGATGCAACCTATGTGAGTGACACTTAAATCTGAAATTTCTGATGGATTAGAGCCTGCTTGCACCCATTGTTAGAGCCAGGAAATTATATTAAGCAATTATTCAGGCTTCAGGCTTGTAGGTGGAGCAGAGAGAGAGAGAGAGAGAGAGAGAGAGAGAGAGAGAGAGAGAGAGAGGGAGGGAGGGGAATGAACACTTAGGGTTTTAAAGCAATTCTGGTGCCATCACTAAAAATGCAAACAGTGCAAGTGGGACAAAAGCTGAGAGCTTCCTAGGACCCCAACACTGCTCAGGACTGCATCACACATGCCCTTGACTTGTGTGTCATTAGCCTACATGGAGCCAAGACAGTCACACATGAAGGGTCCCTCCTAGCACACCCTGCACGGGTGCTGTGACATCTCATGAATGCACTGCAGCTCTAGGAATTTGCCTTGGTGATCTCAAAACGTTCCACAAAACAGGTTCATAATCAAGCATATTTCTCTCCACTGAAGTCACCGGCTACTCCTTCCCTTAGTCTGTCCTTATGGCTCCTGAGGCCACTTGAAAAATTCCTTCTGGAGCACAGGCAGGAGTCTCAACGGACCTAGCCGTAGTGCGCTACCAAAGTCACCCTGGCACAAGACCACAGAAGGAACAATGCGTGTAATGCTGTTATTGTGTCCATTTTTGTAGAAAATTTGCCCGTAATAGCATATTATTAAAAGCAGGGGAACATATTTGCCCATGTTTATACATATTCATCCCTCAAAATATGGCAGAATGTACCCACAAGCAATGTGCGCTCCTCACTACATTTTTAGCTCGCCTTTGTTTTCCTGGCCCTCTGGAAAATATTAAAAGAATGTTTCATGATACCTCTGGGGAGAGAGATGGGGCACATGCCATATGTCCTTGTTCAGCAGGAGCTGAATACGAACACTTTTGGAGCAATCTGGTATTTAGACTCCAGCGTTTCATACAGTGAAACCCAAGATGTGAACTTGTGGAAAATGAGTATAATCCAATGTAGAATGAAAAGAATTCACTTTGGATAGAGAAAGGAGAAATCACGAGTGTGAGAAGATGGGGACGGCGGCACTCAGATGCCATCCTGATTTGTGGACCAGCTAGGAGAAATAGCACAAGGCCACCGTGTAAGACTTAACAGATGATGGATGTTGGCGAAGAACCAGACACCCCACAGTGAAAGGCTGTGGCAATCTGCTAGACACGGGATTTTCTCCTACCACTGAAATAAAGTTAAAAAGGGTTAGATTTACAATAAGTAAAAGTACCAATGAATTCTAAAATTATAGAAGCACATGCACATGGGCATATATACTTCTCATCATTTAGGAATGGTTTTCCCAGTTTGTCCTAGCTGTGTAGGGCTAAAGAAAGTGTGTGTGTGCGTGCGCATGTGTGTGTGTGTGTGTGTGTGTGTGTGTGTGTGTGTGTGTGATCTCGGCTCAGCTAAGCCCGAGTCTGGTGGGAGACTTCTTCAAGGCAGCGAGGTTAAAAGTGTGGGTTTGGGAACATGGCTCTGATTTGTGCCTTAGCTGAACGACCTTTGGTATTTAGCTTGTTCTTTCTATCTTTCTTTTTATGAAACAAGGACAACAATACTGACTTTATGGTATTGCTATGATAGTTATGAAAGATCGTAAGTTAAACGTCTCATAGATAGTTTATGCTCGGAAAACAGTGAGTATTTAGAAGGTAGGAGGTCCAGGAAAGCACAGATTTTTTTTTTTTTTACCTTTGACAACCAGTAAGAAAATCAGTGGCCAAACTCAGTGAGGAGCATTAGTGAATGAGGGACCTGGTAGCATCCATGAAAGGGATTTTCCAGCTTCTGATTACTCATGCCCTTCTTTCATGGGGAGGGGACAGCTACAGGGAGTTGCTGACACCATCGCAAATACTGCCTTCCAGCCCACCTGGCATGGTGGATTGGAGTAAAGCTGGGGATCTGCACAAGGGTAGCTTCACAAGGGCTCTGCTACTTTAGTGGGGGGTCCCTTTCCAAGTCGTGCAGGGTGGAGGCAAGGAGCACATGAGTGGATATTGATGAGACATTCCTCATGTTATCTGAGGCCCTTCACAGACTTTTGTCGCTAATGTGGCAATGATTTGTGCTTCTAAACCAGTGCCCTTGGAGAAGAAGCAGTTCTGGATTCTCCAGGCTAAATCTTTCTTGTCTGTCTTCTAGTCTGAGGAATCTTCTCCATGTGGTAGTACAGAGCACAGGTATATGATTTACAAGTGGTGTTGAAGACCAGGTATTGTCCACCCTACTGGGAGTGAGAAGGATGATGGGAAACATAGACACCTCAGACCAGCTCCTGATAGCCACATTCTTTCCAGAAATGAGGCAAGTTCTTCCTGACTTGCCAATGCTGCCCACCCACTTCCAAGAAGAAGCTGATGGCTGACCTAGTTCCTTAAGGCAAACTGCCCAAGAGCAAAATTCCAAATCTGACCTCGAGCTGAGGATTTGAAGTCACCTTAGTCTGTAACTTTATTAGTTGCTACTTCTCCATCTAGTAGCTAAGAGCTATGATCCTCCATTAGGTATCAAGAACCAAAGGATAGCCGTTCACTCTAGAACCTTCCTTTTGGACTACAGTGTACCTGGATCATCCATTTTAATACTACACTTCAATGTGGCAAATACCATTTTTGTCGGAGTCATACACATTTTAAAACCTTTCAAGGTTATTATAATTTCATAGTAGCATGTGTTAGAGATCAAACTCTACAAGAATATTCTGAGCTCTCCAAAACACTTTTCAAAAGAAGCACAGGAAGAACTATTCAATATGATTTTGTAAAACAACCTGAAAACTTACCTGAAAGAGCTGGCAAAGTTTTGCTGAGTACATTAGGAAAAAAGAAATCAAAGTCTTTAAAAAAAATAGATCAACTCTAAGAATCACTACATTTTTCAACTCTGATGTTAGATGGCTTTTCTTTAAGGGTTTTTTTTTTTTTTTTTTTTTTTCCTATCTGGGGTTGAGACATTAACTTCTTCCACATGTGCCCTAGACTGCAAATAGAGATACAGGCTCAGAAAACAATGCCAAATGTTCCCTTTAAAGTTCCGTGCAAATGATATCCTCTCACCTTTCTACACATTCCTTGACAACAGCAAAGTTTCCATCTCCTATTGTCCTTCCGACTTTATATCGTTCTGTTATCGTGGCTGGAATCTGGAAGCCTTCCTCTGACACTTCTGAAAGAACCATTAGTACATTTTTATTGGTAGAAAAGGGGACACAGATGTTATACAAGGAGATATTTAGAAGTATCATCTAATAGTCTGGAACTGATTCAGAATCAATATGTCATTTTCTGTACATGAGGTGATCGCCCCGTCCCTCCCAGACCTTGTATATACTCAGCAGTTTTTACGAAGAGAAATGGTAAACTAAAAGGAAACGTATGGGGTCCACCTCTGCTTATATAAAGGGCAACTGATGTTTTATGCTGCAATGAGAATTCTGAAGAGGAAGCTTCACTTTTTTTCTCTTTTTTACTTCATGCCAGTTTGATCAATAGCGTGTACTGAATACCAACTGTGTATGGATAGATGACATTCCTACGCATGCACAGGAGGAAAATTCAGTTCTTAAGGGACTCCGGGCTGCTTGACATTGTATGAGCATGAAAAATGCCTGCTGTTTGGATACACAGTTTTACTACATCCTGAAATGGAGATCTCCGTAAAATTCCTTAGGAACTAAGCACTGATTGCCACCCCTCCCCTGTATCAATGAGCAAATTTTAGACAAATGTTCTCACCAGCAACCTGCACAGCAGATGTTGAGTTAAAACTGCAATTTCTATTATGTTTGTGAACAGAACAGTTTAGTACTTTCATTTATGTTAGAGCCACTAACACATCGCATTTTCCCCCTGAAAATGCATTTTGAAATATTTTACAAATGTCTAATAATGCTTTAAATCTCCAAGGCCATAAAATTAAATAAGCCATGCTTAGGTCACATAAATATACAGGATAACCTTTAACATGTTAGGGGTGTAAAAAGCTTTTTATAGCTGGGCTCAAACATTTGCATGCTTAAAAGTTATAAATCCTAGCTCTCCTCCAGGCAATCTGAATGCAAAATGTGATGGTGGCCCAGCGGGTTTTATAAGTGTGCTCCTGTCCTGACATTTCATCATAAACTCAGACCAAGCATTTCTACTTGAACGAAAACCTTAGGAGGTGAACAAGCTTTCTGGTGAATTTTGCATATTCACATTCATTCCAAGTCATTGGGGATTGACATATGGAGACTAACGATTATCGGCTACCTACAATAGGACCCTTATTTTGGTGTGATGATATTGAGTCCACGCCACTTTTGGTTCCGGAATGATGGAACTTCTGGAAAGTGTCTAAATGTAGGACGTTTGCTGCTACTATTGCCCTGGGCATTTACATAGCCTCTTCACCTCCTTATGGGTGGAATTTTACTTTTCCCTAGAGAAACTATCTAAGCAGTCCCCAGATCAAGTGAGGGCTTAGAGCCCGTGTTCCCCTCCTTTTTCCTACCTGGAAAAGAAGCCATAATACTGCCTTTGTGTTAAGGAGTCAGCCTGGGGATTTTTGTGCCCTCTACAGGAATGGGAGAGATGATTGGTGGTTTCAAATTTACTGCGAAACAGTTGAATTTACAAAACATTGTCTATATGACACAATCTTAAGGCTATTTAGTACGTGGGTAACTAAAGTAATCATCTTTGGCTGATGAGGATAAGTGTGACCCTATATGTTGAAATGGAAAGAGATATTCCATTTCTTCTTCCAGTGGGAACATTCACTGGAGCACCATCCAAGGCACAAGCCTTGGAATTTCTTTTCCCTATTAATAAAAGTGTACCTTTTAGGCTTTTAGTTTAAAAGGCTCAGCCAAAGGCTTAATCAAGAGCCATTTCATTTCATTAGGTGAAAATGCATTGGAACAAAAGAGAATTGTAAGTGGCTCAATTATAAATCTGCAATAATTTCTGATACTGTGTGGTAGCCAGGAAATAAATTCTTAGGCAAATCATACATCTCACTTAATGTAATTAAAAATATTTAACCCGAAGGATGCTTTTTTGGAGAAATAGCATGTCATAACATTTCAAGCAAATAAAAGAAGCTGATTTTAATAGTGGTTATAATTTTTCAAATACTTTTCTCTAATTGATTTAAACTTGGTAACAATCCCCAGAGAAGACATGAGGGTGTTTTGCAATCCCCTTTTTACAGAAGAGGAACTAAGAGTGGGAGAGTTGAGGAGCCTTGCCCAAAAAGCATCTGATGATGTACCTAAAAATTTAGTTATGGAACTCAAGTCATTAGGCCACATCACAGAGAAAGTCTAAAGTGAATGCACTTCAGGAAAAAACAAAATTTTGCCATTTCCACCAATGAATTCTTTTTGTAAAGCTGTGTTTTAATATACTGAATTTACTCAAGCTAGAGCACATCTGAGTCTCTTCCCAGAGAGTCAGTAGTCCTTAATATGTGAAATGTGAGCAGAGCTTGGGAACACAAAGGCAGCAGTCACCCTATCTTGTTCCTAAAGCAGGCAATAGCTGGTCTTCCTGGGGAATATATACCCTGAGAGGATGTGAAATGTCTCCTAATTACACCATCTCCTTCCTCCTGCTCTGAGAGCAGATCCCATTGCTTGTTGAAGCCATAGTCAGTCCTATCCCCTTGTGATTGACCTTCTGAGCTGCTGAAGTTTTTCCATGCCATTCCACTCAAAATGTAAATTAGTGAACCTATCCTCTGCCCCCTACACAAGCTGAACCTTCTCTTCAAACATCAAGTCCCCAGCTCATCACCTTCCCCAGGTCCATCATTCTCATCCATCGAGCTGCAGACTTTGGTGGATGCCAGTGAAGTAGAGGAACCACCGTGTTGAGAGCTCTGCAAGGGAATAGAAACACAAAGTGAAAAAAAAAGAGTCAGAGTGACTGAGACTCTACATGCTATGCTCAGCCTGGAATCTTAAGAGACGGCTTTGCTCACTCCCAGGGAGGATTTGATTTTCATACTTGAAAAAGGAGGCCCTTAGAATATTCAACTTATGTCTCCTCCCTTTCATTAAGAATTGGTAGGCTGTGCGGACTGGATCAGGCTACACATTGTACACATGGATGGTCTGTGAGTTCTTATTCCTTTTTCCTAAAATGAGCTTCCTTTAGGTCATGGTTTGGGTTTGACAGACGTTAGACATCTCACCTTAGTCTTCCAGTCTACTGCAACAGACCGCAACCACGGCACTTTTGATCTTATCCACTATTTTTTCTATTTTTACAAAAGAAAAATCAGCTTCAATTTGCTTTTATGAAATTTCCTAAAAATATAAAAAATATTTTCCTAAAAATATAAACTGTGCCTTACCACAACCTTAGGGGAAAGGCAAAAGAATGAGTTTGTTAATTTCACCTTGAGATAAAGATACAAGCCATAAACAGATTACTAGTTGCAGAATCAGAGCCTAGGCCTGTGGAGTATCTTGTAATCTTGATGCATTTTGACCCAGCACCCATGAGAGCAAATAGAATAACCAAATGTATCAGAGATCTCAATGGACCAAATAACACCAAATAGTGAATATGATGACTGGCTGGGAACATATTTTAACAGTAAGTGTTTCCATCTCTGTGTCTATTTCTTGAGAAAACAATTTGTACACTGCAATGCTATTACTAAATAATGAACACAGTTTGTCCTAAAAGATCTTCCTTCTGTTTCCCTGGGTTTATCCACTTGGCTGGCCTGGTGGGAGCAGGAGGCGGTGAGGGGGCAGCACTGGTTCATGGTGCCAGCTGTCTGTGGAGCAGAGAGAAGGGAAAGAGCATCTGTAGCTGGATTGATAATGAAGAGGCGATGAGGAGCAAACTTGACCTAGTTTTCTTCTGCTTACCTGTTTCCCTTTAACCTGCTCCTCATTCCATGCAGCCTTAACTGTGCACAAAGTAAGGGGATGCAGAGATTTTATATAGTTCATTGTACCCCACAGCCTCCTGCATAGGAAATTCAAAATTTTATTTTTCATAAAATACATGCCTATAGTTGGGGAAGTACTGTCTAAATCACTGTGAGGCTATTTGAGTCAAACACCGTAGAACACGTTCCTGGATGTGACAAAGACGAGCATATTCCACTGGATGGAGTCATTGACAGTGATAGCTGACACTACTGGGATGAAAGTTAATAGCATCTTCACTGTAGGAGATTTCTCATCTGTACCCCCGAATACCGTACTGTTTGTACTATGTGTCCCTTATGTTCCATTACCATCAAAATCCCCCCAAAAGGAGGCTGGTGACTTAAGCTGTGTCTCTATCTTCTCTTTTTCAGTCTCCCTCTGTGACTAGTAGTACACATTTGTCACATGTCAGATTAGAAAGAAGGATTCATATAGTTATTCTTGAAACAAAGTTGTTCTTAGGGTGACACTATGGATTCATAGTGTTCTGTGTCAAAGGGACACAGACCATACAAGTTTCCAAGCTGTGCTCTGCTAAATTTTATGAACGTCTGTTTGTGAAAAAACTATATTTATAATATTGGGATAGGAAGCTAAGATGAGGCAGATGTCGTATGCTGATGATTAGAGAAAATAAACATTAACTTCACCACATTTGAGGGCAAGATGTGTATTTTCCCAAAAGCGAGATGCTTTATCTCATTATGGCAGACATAATGGTGCTCAAGGCAGGAAAGCACTAAGTAGCTGTCTCGGATGTCGAGCTTCTCTTCTGAGCTTTCTGGCCCTTGAGTGTCTTCCAGCAGCACAACAAATGGTGTTTAACATTGTGGGCACATTGTCGTGTGGATGGCAGGTGCTGCCTTGTCATGTGGTATTTTTAAATTTTAGACTACAAAGACACATTTTTTCAGCAATCACCCGTTAATAGACTGATAGTATGTTTTCTAGCAAAGATGCCCACACTATACACTAAATTCCAAAAAACATGTTTTTAAAAATAAGAACATTAGGTGTTCAATGCAGAACTCTGACCCAAAGCATAGAAAAACATCTTTTAAATTGAACATTTTATAAATTTGCTGGATTTTATCCACCAAACAGCCTTATCAACTAATGACTCGCATTTTCAACAGTATCACCAAATGTTTGGTGCCCTGAATGTTTGCCACAATGACAGCTGTGTTTTCACTGCCGTATGAATAAAGTCCCTCAAGATTTTTAGCCTCTGCTTTAAAAAGAAAAAGTAGGATTAACACAAGTTTGCATATGCCTACAATTGCTTATTTTCAACGTTAGCTTTGTATTTCTGAAAATGTACCCTCAGTCATCTCAAATTTCCTGGTGAGGCTAGCAGGTGACTGAAAGTTTTAAGAGAAAACAACTTATTTATTTATAAATAGGGTACTCTTAAAATAGACAATGCTTGCTTTATTTATTATGCTCAAATAGAGAAAAATGTATTAAACTTCTAATGTTGTTATCTCTTTTATAAGACAATTGATCATGCATGGACTCAAAGAACTTTAAGGACTTTAAGTATAAATATTATCTACTCCATCCCACTGCCATCTAAAGACCAAAACGCCACTGCAGGTAGACCAGATGGCCTTTGTCCAAACACTACCAGTAATGAACATACTACTTCTTGAGGTAGCCCCTTCATCATTAGTATGAGACAAAGTAAAATCATTTAGCTATGTTATAAGGTTTTGCTGTAGTCAATTTGCTAATATCAAAGCATCTGGAGGTACAGTACAAAACACAGTTATTTTAGAATTTAATGCAATTAGCTACTCTGAGAGACGTTGTGACATTTGAAATGTCATCACCTCCAGCAGATTTAATGGGAACCATTTGGGCAGGTTGCTGACACCTGGATGCTTTTATAGCACACCTTCATAAAAGAACTGCCTTCAGTAAGAACACATCCTAAGTGTAGCTATTTAGTTTGGGATCACATAACAGATGGAGAACATATCGTACTTTTTGAAGTAAGTGAGAAAGCTAACATAACAGCTTTAACCACATTTTACCAAGATGTATGTGATGACTATGTAGTTAAAAAAAGAGCAGATCATTTGAAATGTTATGGCTTACTCCTGCTCCTTGTATTAATGTTACTCAGTTGGGGTCCATGCTGCATTGAAATTTGTAAAATATCCAATTAATACAATTGATCTCATCAAGATTGATAAATTTCACCAGACAACTTTCATTTAGCTTGAATAATTGTACTATTTCCACTTCACTTTTCATCTTGGCATATACTTAGTTATTACTTTGTTTAGTTACTTTTTTTTTTTTTTTTTTTACAAAATATCAGTGAAATTAACTTCCTCTCATGTCCCAAAAATTTTTCTTGTTTTTTTTTTTTTTTTTTGGTACTGGCAAGCAAACTCAGGACCCTGCCTGCTTGCCAGGCAGGTACTGTGCTACTGAGCTATGTCCCCGGTCCTGTTTAGTTACTACTGATTTGGAGAAATGATTGAGAAGAATTTAGAAGTCAAGTAGTCATTGTCAACTTTATAATGGTTAAGCACAAACAGTAAATATTTAAACTCTAACAGTTGCCTTGGCAATCATGGCTCAAGGCTTGCAGAAATTTTGATGATGACGTGATATAACAACATTAAATAATAATCCTGGTTCAGAGAGTTTAAAACCCATAGGATTCTATGCAGTATAGAAAAGCCATGCATTTATAAGTGGCTATAGAACAATTAGCTGCGAAATCAACCTGCAGTAACTGCATTATTTGAAACAAGACACACAAGGACTACCTCTTTTTTTTCCAAATTCTTTTGTTTAGATTCTTCATTCTATGCTCAGCTAAATAAACTTTATATAGGCAGTCATGTACATAACTAAGAATGAATATTAAGAATTTTTAAATGAAGATTTTAAATTTCATAAAGATTTGGCTAAATTGTTCAAAAGACTAGAGAACTGGCCAGGCATGGTGGTGCACTGCTGTAGTCCCAGAGCTCAGGAGGCTGAGGCAGGAGGATTGCAATGAGTTCCAGGGCAGCCTGGGCTACAAACTGAGTTCCAGTCCAGCTTGAACCACATAAAAAACCCTGCTTCAAAAAAAAGTGAAAAAACTAGAGAACCATTAAGCAAGAAACTGATTTACTGAGGAGAGGAAAAAGTAAAAATGGAGATATTGGGATTATGTCTACGCTAGTGAAGCCACAGTAGCTAAGAATTAAAAAATTAAGTGCATTTATTTGTAATGTATCATCTGTTTGTCAGATCAGGTCATCTTTGAATCTACTTTTCAGTCACTAAAATACCTGGTCTGAACCATTTTCCTTGAAGAGGCTGTGTGAATGGGTAACTACAATGGCTCTATTCTGAGTTACTCTTCATGAAATCATAGTGTGGAAGGAGGCCAGAAAACCATTTCAAGTACCCGCTCTGGATAGAATAATTTCTCAGTGATTTACTCCGCAAGTGGGTTCTCAACCTGTAGTGAAGTGAGCTTGTTATTCTTCCAGGCACCACTACATTTTATGTAAAACTCTAGTTACATTTTAAAAAGTATGGGGGAGTGGGGCTGTAGCTCAGTGGCACAAGTGCCTGCCTGATAAGCACAAAGTCCTGAATTCAAACCCAAAAAAAAAAAAAAAAAAAAAAAAGGATAAAAAAGTATGAATGTATTTTGGAATTTTATAAATTTGGAAACATACCCACTAGTTGTACTGCTATTATTGTGGACACTTAATAAATTTATCATGGAAATTATAAAGAGCACCAATGAGAACAAATTAATTTCAAGGTTAAATCAAAATGTTAGATTTAAGACCAAAGTATTGAACTTTTATAATAAATTAGATGTAAAAATTTTGATGTAAAATTTTCTAACTTCACCAGCAAAATTTTCTATTTTTCTTTTTACTACACTAAACTAAATACAGCATGATTTTGC